ATATATATAGAGAGAGAGGATACTTCGTAGATATATATTGAATAGTAATAAGTGTATATAGAATATATTACAGATATATGTATCTAGAATAATACTTAATTATTATATCTTTACGCTTATGTTGTCGTATACATATATACAAATTCACATATATATTGCAAATACATGTTCGTTGTTGAACACAACTTATAAGTGTGACGGTACTCCTCTGCATAAATCCTTGGATATAGATATATAACACAGACATGCTTTGTGCGCCTGTGATTTTATATACTAGGCCCTGAAACTGGCATTCGAGATGCATGTCGCTGATAACTAACACAACAGAATACTTAAAAAAAGGGATAATTTAATTATCGTCACTTGTAATAGGAAATAACGGCAGGGCACTTAGCATCACTGTAGTCTTCGATACACGAGCAGTTTATATTAGGACGGGCAAAACTTCAGTAAGAGTCGCAAATGAAACGCAACTGCTAATTTACGAGCTGATTATCCAGGTTAATCGAGATAGGTTCTCCTGATGCATGCACTATGTTTTAAAACGATTTTATCGTACAATCTGCAAAGAGAACCACGAATCAGAACTACAAACACAAGATATTAAGTATATCTTACCACTGAGACAGATATGCGACGAAGACACGGTTGAAAATTGATATGGTCGAAACGGCCATCAAGGAATGAGAACATCGTCGTCTCCGACTGAGTGACATTCTTATGTAACTCCTCGGGGCCAATCCAAATCTCATTTTAACATATACTTTGAGAACATGGATACACGCGATAGTATCAACCCAGAATCTTCCCGCCAGCATGGTATACTGTTGGTGACAATAGAAAAACGAAATAGAAACATTCGCAGTAGGATTTTTAGGTCATTACACACCGATGATACAAGTATCTATTCCGATTGCTCTGGACTTATTTCCAACATCCTACTTGCGCACGCTTGGACTGTCGCTTGAAGGGATAGTATTTCAATCATTCTCAATTCATTGTGAGGCAAATCTGTTGATAATCGACACTTCATCAAGTCGGGCTTCACATGATATATACTATTCAATATATTTTAGGGGGCTGAGAGTATGATGCAACTGCAAGCGAAGTCGTGTGCCCACCTGGTTGCTTCTCGAATACACACTTCTCGAGTGCAAACTCGAATTTAAGTCAACATCCCTATCGAAGTTAGTTTTGTTGTCGATATGCATTAGATCGACTCCCATTTCCAACGGTCGTTAACTTTGACCAATGTTCGATCACTATGAAAATCTGGCAGACGAGACAAAAATGCAATATAAAGGTCAAAGCAATGCGAGGCTAATGTGCCTGAAAATAAAGAAGATTGTCTCTTTTCGTCGTTGTAGGGGACATCATATTGATAGCAGCTGACGGAAATAAGAATTGATTCTTGACATTTATTGGAAGTCTGCACCATGAACACATCGGGGTGAATGTGGCAATCACACACGAGATTCATTCCAAATTCAAACCGACAAAGGCAGAATTACAGTTCGTGATGTACATATATACCACAATTACACATCGTAATGTACATATATACTCCACGAGAAGGTGGCCCTCCGGATCTCGATGCTCAGCTTATATAAAAAAATCATGTACGATCACAGCGATATTGTAAACGGTAGTTTCCACATCCCATTCCAAAAAAAAAAAAGACCAATTCATATGATATCTAGGTACAATTCTAGGGGAGATCCTTCCTGAGGCAGCACTAGCAACAACCTTATTTCGTCCCGATAGTCCCAGGACGCATCGGTTGCAGAACAGATGGCGGGGAGGACACTGCAATTTTCAAAACAAGTTCGTTCTGTCGACACTTGTACATGATCAGCTTAAAATTGAAAGCCGTCGACTTGGAATGAATTGGACTTCCTCCGCTTCTTCTTCCACCACTGTCTCGAGGGAGTTCAGAGGTAACGCCTGTTTCATTGGTTGATTGGAACGATGAGATACACTCTTAACACGATGTGTCTGGCGATACACAAGCAAAAAAGTCCACCTTGTAGATTAACGTAAAAATTCGTTCATTCTAGACAGTAATGAGATCCACACAACCATTGTACCTGATGTGTGTGTCGATCGACAGCCGCTTGCGACACCTTGTACGCATAAAAAGTCAAGTAGACGGTCAAAATACCACCGAATATCAACAGCAAGTACTCCCCAGTACCTGAAAATAACGATTAGCAATATAGCTAGTAATTAGTAAGCGCCTTGCCTAGTCTTCACTTCATGAGTACAGCTACTCGATTTTAGCACAGAACAGAGGTCCGGGGTAAAAAACAATCAGCCTTACTGGTTTCCCTTGTGTCATTATCCAGACTTGAAAGAGATACTCCGACGGATACATGGATGATGACTGGTTGCAGCAAATATATGGAAAGCGATGAGTGGTAAGACGGCGATTCAAAGACTCAGAATACGCACTACAATTGAACCTCGAGTAACTCGAATTAATAAAATCTCCTTTGGGTTATGGACCACGGAAAAGTCGAACGTGTATACACTACCTTTAACGAGGGAGATGGCAGTGGCAGCCACGAACTGAGTCAGTGGAATGTCCGTAACTGAGAATAATACATTCAGAATAGTGTACGGATAGGGAGCAATGCGTATCAAGACGAGCATCTGATGCCGAGGAAGAATCGGATGGAGAAAATTAGAGCCCATAAGGTCAATAATAAGGAAGAGAGGGGACAAAGAATGAACGAATTCAAAAAACCACTAAAGTTCACCTTGAAATCGGCGACTGCGATCGTCGCGGCCAGTGCCGACATCCTCGGCTGATCCATCAGTTTACGCTCGACCTGCTCCTTGAATAACCATCTCCCACCCGTAAAAGCAAATGTGGCCCCAGCCAGGGCGCCAAAGTACGCTAGAAAGAAGCCTTTATATCTGGTTGAAGATCGAGTTTAATAATGCATTCGCAACGTTAGGATTATATTTTTCATAACACTACGCTACACCCAAAGCCTGATCGAAGATCGGTTAAGAGTACTATAAGGTTTGCGGTTTTATTCGGCATAGCTTTATGCTACATCTAATTTTGCCAGACGTCTTTTATACGTCGAACGACCAAGACATTCACCTCGCTTACCCATAGAGGTAACCACACGTGATGATTGAGGCGGAGTAACCAGGCATCGGTGGTACACTCGTGATAACGACAAGAAACCAACAGATGAGGATACCCCTGTAGGAATGAATCAGGTAGACACTATGAATCAAAACATCTTGGTTTGCCACTGGTCTTGGTGAAGCAAGCATGAGTAGGTGAATAAAGTTTTACAGCTTGTGATTATTGTTGTATAAAATCAGTTACTAAGCGAAATATTAGCCAGGTCTTCGTTCGCTTACCGACATACATACAAGATCTATACTTCTTGAGCATCAGTAACACTCGAATCTACTGGCGGGTATGGAAATGAACTCTATTGTCGTAGTATCATTGTATATGCACCCCTTTCTACTCGATTGTTTTATACTGGGATTCCTTCCACGTTTTCATATACCACCGCATACGAAACTCGTATACATTTATACCTTATACCTCCTTTCACACTCATATAGTCTTGGAGCGTATTTGCTGACCGCAATAGTAAAAAAATACATAGATACAACAAAAACTACAATTTAAGCGTACAGGTTTGTTGACTATATACAAACCACAAACCTAGATGAAAACTTACATCATTTACTCATAGTATTATATTCGAGAAACTAGGCAGGTACCTAACCAGAAAAACATAGAACCTTCACCTTTTCAGTATCCATATAGGAGCTCCAACCTCCAAAAGCAACTATGTATGTCGTGTACTAGACGAGCAGAAGATTCAACAATAAAAAAAGCATATGGGATTGAGCTGAAAACAACATCAGGTACTCTAGAATAATATAGACTGATACAATGTAGAAAGCAACCTACAGTGTACCGGCGTCGCGGATGATCTCTGCGAATTCTCCCAGGTGTTTTAGCAAGCTATCCTTGAATATGAAGGAACATACTATGAGTATGAGAGTCACGGTAACTAAGAGTACTATATACGGGTTCACTCTGTGGCGCAATGCACAGTTTGCCGCCATCGCGGATGGCCTATGTGCTCAGAGGCGACATAAGGAATGTACTACAATATTTGAGAACTAAGAGATACCTATATATATTTCTTCAATTTATATATTATATATTTTTTAAGTTTTTATATATTCTTGTGATGACAGGTATAAAATTCACAATTTACTCAAGAGTGTAAAGTGTAAACAGCATGTCCGATTATGAGAAAATCTTCGTATTATTACAATCGTACCCAGCCATTACCGTGTGCACGGCAGTGTGTTTGATGGTATGCATTTGGCAGTTGCACGCAGCCATCATTACCTTTCTGGTGTGCGTGTGCGTGGCCGCTACCACTCTGATCGTATGCAACTTCACTTGCGCGCTTATCAGTCTTATTAAGGGTCGCCCTATCTCGGAAGCCCGTAGCCTTCTGCAAGTGTCTGCATCTCTGATTCCCTGGGTGATCATTCCGCCATCCGTTGCAGACAGAGAAATATCCTCGATCTCGGGCAAGCGAGCGGGCTGTATTAGAGATGACAGTACGATATATATGGACGTGAACGCCACCACACCTGTTGATGGCCATGTGGTTGACGCGATATCAGAAGCGTGTACTACGGCCTGGGGAAATCCCTCGTCGAGCTACGCGTCTGGCGTTGCTGCAAAGGAAACTATATCTGAGGCGAGAGAAGCAATCGCACGCATGGTCAACTGTGACCAAAGTGATGTCATCTTTGTGTCTGGGGGAACGGAAGCGAATAACATGGCTGTGCACTCTGCGGTAGATAGTTTCGCCAAGGGGTCGAGCGGTCCTACGGGCACTCTGCCACACGTGGTCATGTCTAATATTGAACACGACAGTGTGATGCAGCTGTGTGAAGTACTCGCTGAGAGAGGGGCGATTGAGCTGACGAGGGTCAGAACGTCAGCATTAGGTACCGTATTTGCGGAAGACTTCGCGAAGGCGATCAAAGTGAACACCGTGCTTGTCACAATTATGCACGCGAATAACGAAACGGGTGTAGTACAACAAGTGCAAGAGATAAGCAAGCGGGTCCGAGAACGTAAAGCAGAGTTGGGGGGGAGCAAAATATACATTCACACAGACGCCGCACAAACTATAGGCAAAATCCCAGTGGACATACGTGCTATGGACGTGGATTATCTGACAATTGTGGGACATAAGTTCCATGGACCAAGAGTTGGGGCACTGTGCGTGCGCGATCTGGAAGACGCGGGTGCCCCATTAAGTAACATGATGTTTGGCGGAGGACAAGAGCGAGGTTATAGAAGTGGCACAGAGAACACGCCCATGATCGCGGGCCTTGGAGAAGCAGCACGCATTGTATGCGGAAATCGACGATCTGACAAAGGCACGCCCAATCCGTGTCAAAGAAATGGTGAAACAGTCGAGAGTGTGGGTATCCGCATGCGTGCATATAGAGATAAATTTGAATTGCTGGTGGAGCAGTCTGTAGGTAAGCACAACGTCATATTCAATGGCAAGAACAAATCGGTGGAGAGATTGCCAAACACATCCAACTTCTCGCTCAGACAGCCTCCTCAGCCAGACACCGACACACCTATCTTTGTATCTGCGCGTGACATTCTCGTTCACACAAAAGTGTTGTGTGCGAGTGTAGGTTCGGCGTGTCACACGTCCAGCAGCAAGCCGTCACGAATTTTACTGGCCATGGGTATCTCAGAGGAGCTAGCTCGGTGTACATTTCGCATAAGCATGAGTCGGGACACAACGGACTTCGAAGTTTTGAGAGCTGCACAGTTAATTACGCACGCATGGTCCAATTCCGCAGGTCATTTCAAAAATGTTAAAGCAATCAGTAAGTCGCCTGCAACCGATACGAAGACTATGGAGCAGGCGAGAAAGGAATTGTAAAGTCCCAGAGGATTATTCGATGCAATCTATAAATGAGCGTTAAACTGCTTTGGTAAGCCTTAACGCCAGTCTCGAGTGTTATGGTCAACATTTAATACCCTTGATGCCTTCCCTTGCAAGGCATCACCATACTACTGAAACTTCTGCCTGATTCAAATAATCGCTATATTAAAACATCTCGCCTGCACGCGAGAATATTTTACATTCTTTAATTGGATTACTCTCAGCAAAATAATGTGTGGCGGAGTTGGCAAGATGGCGAGACAAGCCAAGTTTCACACACAGCTTAACCATACTACATACGACTTCAGACTAATAGAACCATCTCTTAGCCAGCATCAAGACTGAGCTTCGAAAATACCACCATCCCATGCCATCGCAACAAAGGTTTGAACCACCCCTCGAGTACACCGGGAGCAGCCCATGCGCTTGTCTAGGCCTCTAACTTTTTACGATGCTCTGTGTAAGATTGAAAATGTGTGTGAGATGCCGCATTTTGAAAATGTAGAAATTATCAGCGTACAAGTATTTATACAAAAGTTCTTTTGCTAAGCGATGATGATACAAGAACGCATACCCTGTGCGTTGTAACAGCCAACAATTGCGACAAGTGATCATGCCACAATTTACGTACAAACAGGGACGGTACATTCAGGCTAATTTGTGATCGCACAGTCGCAATCACACATGTATGAGAATCAGCGCACAAACACACTATTTTTTTTTCTCGCAAACTGCTTTCCAGATAGATAGTACAATAATCGTAAATATCCGAATCTATGTATGTAGAACACATGCGGTAGGGCGGGCTATTAACAAGTCACACTTCTAGAGCGAACAATATCCCCATAGGTTGTAGGTACACGGTGGCGATATAGGATCCCAAAACATCACATGCGAATGTACAATTTGATAAGCATATTGTCAAAAAGAGCACTCACATGTGTCGGACTCACTTTCAACATCACCTTAGCGTACGATCACAAGATGTACAAGAGCTTTGACTGCTATAGAATACATTCATAAGATTGTACCAAGAAAAGGATACCCGGTGCACAACCTCCACATACGTCAGACATACCTGAAACACACGTGACACTGCAGTACTTATACTTCAGACGCTCATACTCTGATCCCCGCATCAGCGCAGTATTGCAATGGTCATTCGAGCACGTCTCGCCCGTCGGAATACCCCCTGCACTTTGGCCTGGGGCTTTCTTCATCCTTGCCTCCGCCGCCAACGCACGCCTCTCGCGGTCGCTGAGATTGGCTATCCTTTTCCGTTCGGCATCTTTCGCAGCCTCTATTCTGTCCTGCTCTTCCTGAGCCTTGTCGGCAGCCTCCTTTGAAAGAGCCTTCTCTCTGTCGCGCTCCTTCTTCTTCTTCGCCAACTGTTTCTTCTTCTCTCTTTGCTTTGCTTTCTTAATCTGCTCCTTCTCTGCCTGTGCAGTCTCCATATCTTCAGTCAGCGCACTGGGCACGCCTGCCTTATTATAGTCCCACCTCGTCTCGTCCAGAGCCATGAACCTTCTGAACATATCGCGGGTGGCCTTATCCTTTGCCAGCATGTATGCAGTAGACCCTCGTGCGTTCTGTACAGTGGGATCTGCGCCATTCTGCAGTAATGTCCATACAATATTTGGGTGCGATCCTTTACTTGCTAAATGTAAGCAAGTGTTGAAGTCGAGGTCTACAGTATTCAGATCGAAATCTTGGATTTCATTTTGATTCGCACTCTCTTCCCGAAGGAGTATTTCTAACTCTTTCATTTCGCCCTTCTCACACACCTGGAATAGTTGTACGTGCTCCTTTGATAGCTCTTTCCGGATATCCAAATCGATACCCAGCAGAAACGGTGATGCAGACACCATAGGACTGCCAAACGATGAAGTGTGACTCATTAAGCTCATGCTATCGTGTGCAATCATGGATGTGGCGGCTGTGGAGGAACCATTGCCGGGTGAATTACTCGCTGCACTCAGTGAGATTGTTTTGGTTTCATTTTCCAGCAGACGAAGGTCCTGCGCTGTGAGTGACTGATGATTCCCATTGGGCGTCGTACCAGCTGTACTACCGTCCATGCTATTAGTCTTTTCCACCACAGTCTGCACTACAGTGCATAAACTCTTGTGCACACGCTTTGTCTCCGCCAGCGTGGGCCTACGCACACGAAAGGGAACCCTTCGTACTCGTGGATCAGACTTCTTCAGACACTTCGCACTCACCTTGCCCCCCGATCCATATATAAACTTTTCATTCGCATTCGGAGCCCACACAAACACAAGAGAGCACTCCGCTATACACTCCTTCCATGTGTCGGTTAATAGAGTGCACACATCTTCCTGCAACATTGCCTCTTGCTGTCGCCGCAGGTTCGCTCCCGCTGACTTTGGCGCAGACGTTCCCGATGTACCATCACGCACAGACTGCATTCCACCTTGCTTTTTACGCACAACATAGCGATGGAATGACTTGTGCACACGTAAGTGGAGAGCATCGAATACACCCGCTGCAAAATGGCCCCCCGAGCACAGTAGCACAGCCCATGTCTGGTTGGTGGGCTTGTAAAGTACTGTGTCAGGTGTATCAGACGGTGCGTGTGCGAGTGATCGTCCTGGCTGTTTGGCAAGTGCTCTTAAGCCGTCCAGCAACTCCTTCTGAGTAGCCTCACCCTTTGTCTTGATTGTCAACAGGGGTGTATAGACGCTATACGATGTCTCTCTAGGCGTGTAGAATCGTGTTATAACCCATTTGCCTTCATTGGCCAGTACAACACCTGATTTTTTCGCAGGTCGGGCGAGTGTGTTGTTAGTTCCCACGCATGCAGAATTCCCACCGCCGTCAATCTCCACGACATCGTCATCTGTATCAGAACCCGATCCAGATATACTGGAGAGGTCGTCCAATGTGGCCTCGAACTTCTCCTCCGTGACGTATTCTAGACCCTTCAACCGACGCTTTACATTCACACGGTGCCAGTCTAGCTTAAAATGCTCTCGTTGTTGCTCCACATCTTCGAACTCGACAATCCCACACAGGGCACAACTCAATCCCACAGTATTACCAGCCGTAGGCATGAACAGATCTCTGTCCTGCTGTGCTATAGAGTTATCTGTCTCGACACGCGACGAGTCACTCTCTCGGACCGTCGTTTCCACAGTCAGCTCATCGACCTCCTCTAATGTCAAGGAGAACACTGGAAAAGTTACTTTGCCACTCATGATTGCGTAGCTGCCATGTACATGGCGTTGTTTTATGTGATGTGGCTGAAAATTGACGTGTGCACATCTGTGAAGAAGGCTATGGATTTTTGGAGAATTATTTAATTTTATGATTATGTTTTATCTCATATTCGGCGTTTTAAACTCTTGATTTGTCGGATTTTTTTTTTGTATCTTGAAGAGTATCGCTTACAAGGTCAGCCTCCAGAGTCCACTGTCCAGCCTCAAGGAACGCGATATTAGCTTTTTTTAATAAATGATCTACATTATAATAACTTGCCATGCTAAGCTACATAATGCGAGTGACAATACTAAAATACTTGCCTCACATAATAAACGAACAGTACACGCCACGCTGTGCAGACAATTGGCTTGAATTTGTTGGTTCTTTATTGAGGCTGTTTGAAGATGCGAGGTCATTCCAAATGAACCAAATTTATAAGTCGGAGGTTCTACTCATCGCTTCCAAGTCAATGTAACGTGACGCAAGATTTAAAATAAATAAATAAATCAGCGCACAGAACGACGAATTGTAGGTTTCTATTTTCTGTAACGGTTGCGCCTGAAGTGGAACCAAACTTGAAAGATGCCGCGGTCAAATTGACATTTAAAACCTCGCTTATGCGAATACTCCCACTCTCTTTTGACGACCTTGAAGGCTATATCCTGCAAGCCAAATACAAGAAGATTTAGAACGAAAGACGCGAAGTTCTCGTTGCAACACGTTTTCATCACTAAGCAGCAGTCGCGACTTGGAATTCCTTCCGATGCCCCGCAAATAATCAAAAAAGGCCAGGGCAATAAATCAGCGAAGCCCATCATATAATAAACACCAACAGAAACAGTTCAGCGGATGAAAAACTATACAGGCCATTGCAATCCAAAATTGCTTTCGAACAACATACCTCGTATGGCGGCCCGGCCGAGAAGCGGATGATACAAAAATCTGGCTCGTCTGGGATAGGTATCAACTTGTATGTTGGAGCCTTGGATCGATCCAGTAGATCCGGATAGAACACCTGAGAGTAGAGTTTGAGGTGGGCAGTATAAATATGAAAGGAACTCGTCGCAGAGTGTAAAATGTCTGTGCGTGTGCGTGCGTGGTGGAGAGCGGGGGCGTGGTGGGAGATTGGAGAGGAAGGCCACTTACTATGAAGATGGAATGTAAAAAGCGATATCAAAAGTTACCACACGAGACTACACGAGTCATCGATATGACCATTTGCAATTCCATACGTTGAACTTGTAGCCCTGGACAATCTTAGGGGGTGGATTCTCTCTAGAGTCGTAGTGCGTTTGATTGTACTTGTTCCATTCGAAACCAGTATGTACACGGGAGAAAAACCTCGGCTTGCGTGGCCTATACTTGTCGCTCCAGTCGTATGTTTCGCCACTGATCGGCATCTCAGCGTTGAAAATGAGATCGCCCTCTTCCACGTGCGTGCTCGTCTTCATGAATTCATCAGTTTCTGGTGCTTTTTGAGCGTCTAGAAGCAAAAATTAAATATAAATGATTTAGGGTGGAGAAAAACAACAGTGGCTACAGAAAGACTACACAGTTCGGTTGTAAATCGATGATCGCTTGCCCTGGTTAGCTTATACAAAAAAAGGAGGTAAAAAGAGCGGGTCTGCACGAATGTAGGGGTTTAAACGAACCGGTTGCACATAGCTTAACAAGATCACCAGTTCAAGATAATTGAGTGTACGTCTCACAACTTAAAACACTAACTACATGTAAAAGATAATCACTGAGCAGAATTTTAAGAGATAACCAGAAGCGTATTCTTCGGGCAAACTATACATTTGCTACGAAACTAGTACAAATTCTTTATACAAATGCGATATGGCACTTACCACCTGAAGGAACCTCACCAGCAACGGCCTCTTCCTCAAGTCGAATACCAAGGCGAATTGCCATTTGTTTGTGTCTCTCCTGCGTGAGATACCGATTGAACAACACATTCAGTATAAACGTATCACCAATCATCCGACCGCATACTACTAAGATAGTTCCTTAAAAAATATATAACACGGCAGCTGGTGACAGGATCGTATCAAGGAGACATATAGTCATGCATCAAACATTGTGTGGATAGGGAATAGCACTAAGTCGTGAGTGGATTATAAGGCAGCCCAATTCGACGCGGACTATTGATGCCAACATAGTCGAATGCACATGTAATTCTCTCATACCTTCTCCCACGCTTCCTCTTCCGTTTCAGGATCAATCGCGTCTTGCTCATCATCGGTCACAGGTAAACTGTATATACCTTCGACTTCGGGTCCATATACCACTCCTGGTTCTTCCTCATCTTCTGCTTCTTCGTCACCCAATAGGTCCCTAAGGAGACAGAGTACAAACAATTGAGCTGGAATTTGGCTAGAACGTGCCGCTAATGATCAATCAGCGGTCTTGGGACGTAGAGTAAAGTACAAGTATATGCGGCAAATGGTTCTTCATAAGCATAGGATGAACATCTACGTTAGGACGCTATGTGCTTTCGAGGGTTAAAACGAGATCATATGTAGTTTGCTCATGATGGTTCGTATATAAGACAAGTTTTAGATTGCTGCACAATAATCAAACACAGTACGCACTCGTCATTTTCGGCTGGTGGCGCTTCCTCTGGCGCGTTGCTGGCTATCAATTCAGCGCCATCCTGTCCCATGCTTTGCAGACGATCTAGCTTCTTCGCTAGTACTGTGGCATGCATCTCCGCCAGACGTGCCTGGATGTAGAAATAGGTCATTCACAGAAAGTTAACGCATGCCGAAGTTTCGGAACGGACTCTCACAATCACGAATGGGTCTATACAGTACGATGTTCGGCGCATTGGGAGAGCAAAATATACGTTAGAAGACGGTACCAGCACTCGAGCAAGTTGTGTGATTGTAAATGTATTCCCAGCATTGACCGTGGGCTCAAATGCAAGGTAAAGGAGTAGTACGCAAGTAAGCGATAGCGAGATGCCGCTGCATTAGTATACATACCTTGGCCTTGTAAACGTCAAGATGCTCTCTTAACGATTCCCAAAACGCAACATCCACCACTCCACCCTGAGAGAGTTTCTGTGCGATTTGCGTTTCCAGTTGTTTAAGTTCTCGTAGACTCTTACCCGACATCACTTTCATGATTTCCTGGCGCACAGAATCGTTGATATTGCTTCCCTCTGCAAATAACAAACAAAATATCGTTTACCTCACGTGAATCATCGAAACTACTTCCATTTTTACAGTTTGTATAGTAATACAAAGGTCTGAATTGATTCCCTCCGCCAATAATACGCAAAATACCGATTACCCAGTGAGACGTTCAAATTACTTCCGTTTTCACAATTTGTATAGTATTAAAACGCCATCGGAATCGAATAAAATATTATAAGTGAGTATTCACAATCAATATAAGGTAAAGACACATGTCGAACATCTCTCAAAGGAACAATGCGGGTTGCGTAATCATGTCGAAGGTGTGCCGGATTTTCAAGTCACAATATTCAGCCATACTTTGCTTTTGTGCCAGAGTGTCCATCTCATACTTGCACAGAACCAACATATCCCTCCAGAAATCGATATCATTGCCGATGCCAAGATACACTTCTATGTCGGCATCCAAATCGTCCAAGTCTTTCAAGCTCAAACCCTAGAGGTACATAACAGTCCTTTAAGTACACCGCTCAGGATACAGGCACGCCAAGATTATGCGAGCATCGAAGATTATAGAATACCCACGAAATTTGGATATTTGAGAACAAAGACGATGCACGCAGAAATCAACGACGACAGTATTTATAATAGAAAGATAAAATCCTGCATATTGAAGATGTGGCTCGGTAAACTCGCCAAGAGCCAACATAAAAATCGAAGACGAAACGTATTTTCTATTATATACTAGGATCTATGTCCTTTTATGATGGAAACGGTGGTTATAGGGTTTGTCGCATATATGGGAAACAGGCTAACGTATAATCCTCGATTAGACAGTCAAAACTACTAGGTTCCAAATTCGGTATATTGGAAAAGATTTCTTGGGCAAGGCAGACTTATTTTAAGAGCCGCAAAATACTCCCAAATCACTACGCGCACAGAATCTTACCTGGAACACTAAATATGGTTCAGCAATGGTCGCCTCATCACTATCGATATCCACAGTTATATACTTTACCAGCAAATCTATCGGCTTGGGTCTGCCGCTTTCTATCCTGATCATACTCCGCATCTTGGCCTGCTCCACATAGAACTCCTCTTCCTGAAAGTGTGTCCCGGCGCGTGTACATTAGCAAACTATATATATAACGATGGTGATACGAACAGCAAAAAGTCAAGTGTACTCCAGCGGGCACCGCTAAATAATTAAAGGCAGAACGGTAACAATTTGTGCAGGCTATCAAACATATGCACCGACAAATCGCTAAATTGTGCGGTGATGCCACAGCAGAAGGTACACTATACAAATTGTGTATACTCTTCATCAACGTTACATAGACCAAAAGCGATTGAAAACCTTTTCCGCATAGTGGTCTAGCTCACTGGACATAGCTTCTCTGGCCTCCAGTTCTCTTAGTTTCTCGCGATCCTCGATATCTTTCTCTCTCTGTATACGCCTTTCTTTGACCTTTGCAAGCTCATGCTTGTTCTCCTCTAAACGCCTTGCGTCCGATGCCATGATCTCTTCGGCTGTTAGACCCTTCATTTGAGAGTCCTTCTCCATCTGTCAGTCGGTCAATATACAGATACCATGCGTTAGTAAGAGATTAGCAACCTATCTTCAACTGTAAAGAATTTGAGTTCGATTTGGCAAGGTAAATTTGAATTGGACCAATTGGTGCTTCCCCCCAACCTATCAAAAGTAAGTTACGAGCGCCTTCAAAAACACATGCATGTTAACTCTATAATTTTGAGCATAAACGCATCAAGATACACAAGTGCTGCAAAACCACCACTATGTGAAATTTAGAACATCACTCAACGCGAAGTGGAGCTGTGAAAGCTAATTCAGTCACTCTAAAACCTACCTTCTTTCCCCATGTAAATTTTTCCAATAGTCGAGAATCGCCAAATGGATTGTCAGTATTGGTATAGCCCGCGTGCTCGTCATCCCATCCCATATTGCGTCTCCGACCTTGCTCTTTCATTTCTTTCTTTGCGAGGCGACGAGCCCGCTTCTCCTCTACATATTTGCAGGGAAACAGACTTTCAGAGTGGAACACACGGCTTTGTGACATTCAATTCATAAACTTACATCAAAAGATGCCACACACGGCTTTGTGACATTCAATTCATAAACTTGCATCAAAAGTTGCCACACACGTGCCCGTGAACTGAGTACCACTCAATTCAGGCGTTTCGCAAAAACCCCGAAAGCCTGTGATTCCAGAACAAATTTGATTGCACGTATTGCATACTCTACAAACGAGGCAAGTGTAGCAGGCGATTATCAGTGCCAAGATTCAACACAGGAGGCAAGGTACACAGCGATTAAGGTGTTGCACAACAACATCACGTGTTGCATAATTTAGACGAGATACAATTCGTGACAGTGTACACATACCACAATTAATAGCATCACGAATAGCATCACGAATAAAACAAGGAATCATACCCGCCGTTTCCGTGATTTTCATGGCCATTTTCTGCTTGCGTTTGTTCTCCTTTTCCAGACGTCGTTGCGCCTAAGAATGGAACAGCGCAATGCAAAAAGTTGTGAGACTTTTGGTGCGCACTTTATGTGCAATTTTTATAGAAGATAAACACACACACACATATATATATATTTATATATACGTTTACATATACATATACGTATTAAACAAACACACACACACACACATACACACACACACACACACACACATATATATATATAATACATACAGATACATAGATACATACATATATATATATATATATACATATATACATATATGATATTTATAAATACATACTTATACACATACATGCATATAATAACATACATACATATATAATATATATATATATGCATATATACATGTAT